TATATATTAAAGCCTCTTATTAAGATTTTGCTTTAGGCCTCCGATGAGGTTGGGCCGCCCCTGTCCACCGTATGCTAAATTATTTACAATCGATTCAACCGAAGGCTTCTGCATATTAGTAATTCAAGAAGAATTGCTAACGTTGATAATCCTTTTGTTGCCAGGATTCATAAAGAAAAGTGTAGTTCCAAATAAGGAGTTGGTCACCCAAGTCCAACATTGAAATTGTCATCTGACTACTAATTCACCTGAGTTGTGGTCAGCAACATCACAAAGATATGTTGATCTTTTCAAATCTTTTCCAGCTTTAGTTTGCAGTCCTAAAAATGACAAAACTTTCAAGCAATTGCAGGAGTGAAATCCAGAACACAGCACAAGAAAGAAACAAACATGGTAGAAAACTTACCAGACCTAACAAACACAACAGAGGTAGAACATTATAGCAACAAAAATATAAAAAAATCATGAGAGAAATCTGAACATAAAAAAAACTCAAAAATACAAATCTGAGAAGCCCAGAAAAATTGAAAAATTCACCCAGTGAAAGATGACAACTTTGATCTCTTGAAGTCGCAAAGCAAGAAGAAAATGATAGAGAGCAGTGAAGGAGAGAGAAATAGATGAATTGGACAACAGTAAAGAGTTATATCTTAAATAATGAATCTACACGTGTTTTGATAAAATAAAGGTGTAGTGCGGGTGTTAATTCCCCAATGAAATAGGCCTAAATATAAAGTAAAATTCAAAAAGCATTTTGTATAGCTTAGGGGTCATCATTTTCTGATCCAAGATATATGTTTTTTTATATGAAGTATAATATTGAGAGTAACATGACAGAAGAAATATTGAGGTTTAACATTGAAAAGGTTAACATACTTGCTAGAAGTATCTTCCTTTCATCGGAGAATTTCATCAAATACATTGATCACATCAATGTTCTTCTCTTGTTTTTACTACCTTTTTTTATCGTGGCAGATACTTGCTGAGGCAAGAATCTACAAAATTACAAAATCTGCGAATCAACAATCTCTGAGGAAAATAGAATAAGACAATTACATGCTCAGCAAGAACATGACCCGACAACATAGAGTAAAAATTGAACGATTGGCACCATCAACAGAAAGACACCTAAAAAGCTTCGCAAAATCAACATAATAAATGTCGTTGAGAATATGAATACTCATTGTATATGTACAGACCTTTAGTTCGTCCACAAATACGTTAAGCAGGATGCTAATCCACAACCAATGAAAGCTCTTATTTATGTTCTGACTGTTCAAATCTCTACAACTTCGGAGCTAAGTGGGTTCAAATGCCAATGCAATTCCTAATTAATAAATGAGACAAAAGAAAGTAGAAGTTAGTCACAGTAAAGGTAAAGTTGGTAAGAATTTTGATACATATACATATAGTCAGTGATCTTACTTTTAAGAGACAGTAAATGCTCCTCCTTTGTCCGGAGTTGGGACTGACTGTGTTATAGTATAACTCCAATTCTTTCTGGTTTTTCACAAAAGAATCAGTATGTAGAGTATTCTACAACAATTAAGCGACAATCAATCTGATAGAAAAAGAAATTTTAAAACAACCACCAAGTTTTTCAAGTACATCACCAAGAAAGTATCCAAATGATATGAATATATGAGCTATAACACTGTTTTTTCTTTTCTGTTAGTAATCTTTATTTTTTTTCATCATGCAGCACTTATAATATTCTAAAGTATTGGCATGAAAGAACCTAATACTATTGATGCAAGAAAATGCATCTAGATTATCAAATAATATTGAAGCAAGAAAAAGAAAGCAAGATAGATGGACAAAATGAGACAGAGATGGAACTGACTATAAATACCATAGAAACAGTAAAATCAAGCAGATACAACATTGATCTATTGGTTGCACATCAGAAAACTTTTCCATTTTTTTAGAACATAAAATTTTTTGCAAGGATTTGCAAGCAGATACGTTAATCCTTGGTTATTGCATAGTAGAGGTGCAAAAACGTTGTTTCAACAAGATTCGTTAAACGAACAATAAGCATACAGGTAAAGGTAAAAATACCTCTGCAACAACATTAGAGTTATTCCTACGACTATGCAAAACCTCAAGCCAACCTGCCATGAATTATGTGAGCGTATGACAACAACAAAAGTTGGGGCCATCCTGTGGAACTATTTACGCAAAAGCTTTTTGAATGATTTCATCATATACTATATTGTAAGTTGAATGATCATCATCACTATCTGATGTAGGTGGTCTAATTAATAGTTTTACACAATTGGAACTTTTTGCTCTCGATAGCGCTACGTAGAGCTGACCGTGTGAAAAAACAGGTTCACGTAAATAAACTCCCACGAAGTCCAACGTTTGACCTTGAGCTTTATTTATTGTCATAGCAAAACATAATCTCAAAGGAAATTGTGTTCTTTTGAAAGGAATAGGCAATTTTTCATCTGTTGATGATAAAAATGGTATTCTCGGAATAAATACATGTGTATTCTTAAAGTCCCCAGTGGCAATCTTAACATTTATAACATGTTTTCGAAGATCACAAGATATAAGTCGTGTACCATTGTATAAACCTTCACAAAGATTTAAATTTCGTAACAACATAATAGGACAATACTTTTTCAAGGTTAATTTATGGGGAGGTAAACCAGCAGGATGTAAAGTATGCAAAAAAATTTCATATTGACTTTGATCGTTTGCCTCAATAGTCTCATCAAATGCAACATATGTTTTAGGATCACCAGGAAATTGAGCTATGAGCAAATCATTTATTTCATCAACAAAGTCATTTTTGGTTGTCAGAATTACACGAGAAGTCATAGAAGATGCATCATAAAAACATGTATGTAGATTTGGATAAGTAACTCTAAACAACAGATCTAATGATTGATTTTCAGAAATGAAAGGGATAACAAAACAATTAGGGATTTCAATTTTGTCATGGATATTTGTTTTTTCTTGTCCATTTCCTATTCTCATCAAATATTCACAAAACGTAAGATCTGTCTTTGCACGCATATTCTCTGATAATTGTAGTTTTTCGAGTTGATTCCAAATTTCAGAATATAATAAGCTTTGTTGAATAAAATCTTCTTTTTTTTCCACTCCTAACAATTGGGAGAGTTTGTGTAAAATCACCACCGAAAACGACCACTTTTCCTCCAGATAGAGCATTTGTATCCATTAAATCCTTTATGAGAATATCAAAAGTTTCTATCACTTTCTTTTTTGCCATAGATACTTCATCCCAGACAATTAGTTTTGCATCACGTATTAAAGTTGCAAGTGCTCTTTGCTTACTAATGTTGCAAGAATATTGTTCATCGATATCAATAGGAAATTTAAAACGGGAGTGAGCAGTTCGTCCTCCTGGGAGGATCGAAGCTGTAACACCTGAACTTGCTGTTGCTAAAGAGACAAAACCTTTTGATCGTACAGCAGCTAATAAAGCACGGTATAGAAAAAATTTTCCAGTTCCTCCGGGGCCATCAATGAAAAATGCTCCTGATTTGTTAGAAAATATTCTATTAAGAATCGTGTCATACGCTTTTCGCTGTTCGGTATTTAATTTTCTCTCTAGAAGCAAATCTTCTTCTCTAACAATGATGTTTCTTTCAAATTGACAGTCATTGGTTTCTCTCGCAACAACTGAAGGTTTAATTTTCTCAGGAATAAGATTATATTCATTAATATCATGTCCCATCAAGTGCAAAATATCATTGATATGATTTAAAGCCATAAAACGAATATCTTTAGCATTCATGCTAGGTAAAATCTTAAAATCTTCGGACATTGAATCTTCAAATTGTTTCCAAAGTTCTGTTGGATTAGCAGGATTACAATACACCAATAATGTTGCTTGCAAACGCCTTAAACTATATGGCATTTGATAATTTGTAGCTTCAGATATACATTCAACTAAGTTGTTATCACAGTGTAACAATCCTCTTTTTTCTGCGGCCTCTCTGAATGTACTACAACATTTGCCGTCAACTTTACGTAAGTCCTGATATGATTTTGGTCCTCTAACGTTCATCAACAATAATCTAAGATAATATCTTTCTCCTTTTTTTGGATGACATGTTACAACACGTCCAATTACAGTACGTTGTTTTCGACGTGTCCACATTTTTTCCTTAGGTGACCATACAAAGTACTCAGAAAATTCTTTATATAATAATAACATTTGCATAGCATCTTTATCTGTTCTGTTCATAACAAAAAATTCAGTTAACATTGTTTTTCGAATCATTGGATTACTAAATATTCTATCAATATTTTCAATACTTTTAAAAGAGACAAATTGTTGTCCTTCCAAATGTAACTGAAGGTGAAAAACAGTTGGAGTCATTTCACTTATGGGAAAACTAAATAGTCGCCACGCAACTTCAGGAGGTGAAACCCATCTAGCAGATTGGTATTCTTTTATTTCATCTATGTCTGTATCTGTATCATTATCATGTATATGAAATGCAATTTTATCGTGTCCTTTGCAAATATATTTGTAAATATATTTCACTACTTTGATATCAGAACAAACTTCAACATTCATATGACAATTATACTTGCATGGGAAAATGGATTATATGGAACCTAAGTTACTCGGACTTGGCAATTTGGGTGTCATACCCGTGTCGACACGACACTGACACGGGTAAGGGTGTGGGATCTGGGTTGGATCCGATCAAACGAGATCGGGTGTGTTGACCAAACGTTTTGGAAAATTTTTGAGAATTGATTTCCCTAAGTAAAGATTTGAAGAGATGGAAAACGAAATACCTTCCATTACACTGCTATGTAGTAATTTATACTAGTCGTTTTGAAACTTTTTGTCTTGATCAATCTTCTTGTTCATGCTACAGGTTTCTGAAATTAAGAGCTATAATATTTTTTTTAGGGCAGAGAAGTTGAAGATGGGTGGTGGACTACTGGACTGAGCTTATTTGAAAGGCCCGGGTCTTGTTCTACTGGAGAAAAGCAGAAACATGAAAAAAATTTTGTTGGGGAAGAAGAAGAAGACAGCGATGCAGAGAATAAGGAAGAAGAAGACTTAGACCAGACAAAGAAGAAGACAGGAATGCAGAGAATAAGGAAGAAGAAGACTTAGACCAGACAAAGAAGAAGACAGGAATGCAGAGAATAAGGAAAAAGAAGACTTTAGACTAACTAGGAATTGATTACTTTATTACTAGTTGATATGTATATGTTTGCTAATATTCTGCCGAGATAGACATTACATATAATATGTCTTCAATAGTTTTTTGTTTATAAAAATTACAGTTTTAATTGTACCAAAAATAGTTATAGTTTTAATCAAAATAATAAATAATTATTTAATTGTAAACTAAATATAATTGTATATGCTTTAAAGACACATATTTTTATCTGAGTAAACTTCATATATATTAAATAAGTATATGCTCTAAATAAACAAATTTTATTAATTTACCTAATTATACTATTTATAAATATTTTCTTTCTCAAAGAAACGGGGGATAATTTCTAAATTAATTATTAGCATGTAAATTTTTTGACAAATTACGTTCTCGCGAAGATCATGAAAATTTATAAATTGTACATAATAGAATTGACCCTTTAGTTCTCCACTATATGCTATGTTGTGACACATATTTTAAGACTAATTATAAATTACATGATTTGAGAATGAGCTAAAATAATTTTTAAAAATGATAAAGAAGAATATTCTTAAATTATATTTGATTAGCACCACCAATTAATATTGAGTTATCGAAATACTTGAAATATAATTAATTATTCATGGTTAATGTTATATAGCTTTCAAACAAATCACATTAATTGACTAAGGAACTCTTCTTGTTAGATCATTTGATTCTTCCTATCAAATACAAGTTATAAACTATCGAAATACTTGAAATCTAAATAGATGTTTGATTGGAAATAACAATTGACTTTATCTC